GGGTCTCGAACCCGCGGGCTCAGGCAATCCACTCACCTCAGCCTCCCAAAGCGCAGAATTGCAGGCTGAGCCACCGAGCCCGGCTGGGTTTCTTTTTTAAGTTGTATTTTTTTCTTTTTTCTTTTTTTTTTTTGTTTGGGTCAGGGTCTCACTCTATTGCCCAGGCTGGAATGCAGTGGCACGCTCACAGCCACCACAGCCTCGACCTGCTGGGCTCAGACGATCCTCCCGCCTCAGCCTCCTGAGTCTCTGGGACTACAGGGGCGCGCCCCCACGCTCTGCTAATTTTTTAATTTTTTGTAGAGACGAGGCCCAGCCTGGTCTTGAACTCCTGGGCTCAAGCAGTCCTCCTGCCTCGGCCTCCCAAACTGCTGGGATGACAGGCATGAGCCACCGCGCCCGGGCTCAACTGTATTTTTCTTTCCCTCGCCTTCCCCTGCTTTTTTCTTTTCTTTCTGGAAACCGCAAGAATCGTACATCAGGACTCTTCATAACTCAGTGTGAAATCCACCCCGAGCAGGGACGAGCCAGTTAGACACGGCTTCTCACGGTGCTGGGGGGAGGCTAGGCCAGGGGCTTCTGCTATGGGGTTGTCTGAGAAGCAGGAGCCCCGTGGTGACTCCCAGGTGGCCCTGCCCGGCCAGCACCGCCATCCAATCCAGGCCGCCTCCCTGGAGGTGCCGTCTCTCAGATGAACGTCTTCCAACCCTATAACGAGCCGCTGCAGTGTATGTGGGGGATGCAGCCAAATAGGGCTGGTCCTCAGGGGTGTCCCCGGGGTCAGGGACACCAGCAGGATTGGGGGAACATCTCCCTTTCTCATCCCCCTCATCAGCCCTGCAGAATGTTTGTCTCTAAGAACGCCTCCATTCTCCCGCTCACAGGCCAGCATCCCCAGGGGTGCGTTCAGTCACGCCCACGCTGTCCTCCGGCCTCCCGGGGACCCCGAGCTCTCATGCCACCCTGTCACCAGGGACGGGGCCGCAGGAGGGCAGAGCCCACCGGGGCACAGCTAGGGAGGGGCCCCCAGGCCAAGGGCTTCCTCTCCGCCCGGGGTTTGGCCCCACCTGGCCGGTCGGCGTGGGCTCCTTGCCGGTGGGTCCCTAAAACCCA